TCCTGTAGTATGAGTTTTTGTGCATGTCAATGGACTGCAAGGCTAACATCCCAAAGTTTCCTTTCAGAGGGAGTTTCTCTCCCACACACTCCCCCCATGCCTGAAATGCCTCCATTGGACTCCTTTGTTTACTTCCGTAACAAAGTGACATCACTATGTAACACTCTATTGGATAGTGATCCTACACATTGGACGTAATAGGCTAAGGCAGGGGTGCCCAACCTTTTTTGAACCAAGAGCTACTTCTAAAGTTGCCAGTCTGCCGAGATCTACCAGTCCAAATAGAGGGGGGGGTTAGTGAATTGTCAAAGGGTGGGGGGGATACTAGCGCACTGTCAACTGGGAAATGGCGGACCTCTGTCGGTGCAACTTCAATGATGCCATTTAAAAACATAAAAAATGAAGGGCGGTGACGGCCGTCAGCGAATCGAGCCGGCCCTTGACGACCGGCCATTCTGTGATTCTCCAGATTCTACAGATGGCCGGTCTGCGGAGGGTGGAAAATACATACCGGAAGTAAACAAAGACGTGCAACGGGAAGGTGTTCCCACGGGAAACAAAACTTAAAATATTAAATGAAACAATCTCACAACTTATTATGAATTAAACATTCACAAACTTATAATTATGTATTCACATGTTTAACTCTGTTACATATGCACGCAACGAACAGAAGAGCGTAGGGCAGAATTAGGAGGGAATTCCGTCTCGTAGCGTTTGTGTACCGTTTTGAAATGCCGCTCTAAATGACTCTTCTTCGGTAAAGCCACGCTCGCATTGCAGATGAGAGACAGATGGACTTTAAATTGGAATAAACAAAAAAATAATCATCCTCCCACTCGGAGTGAAAATGATATATTTTGGGCTTTTTTGCTTCCATAATTGCGGTCTTGTGTGTGTGCGGACTGTCACTCCTGTTGACACGGACAACGTCAGCTAACTAGTGCCCACTGCCCACCAGCCACGCCCCGACACATGGGGTCACGCCAATCACAAAGCTTTGATGCGTTCAAGTGCATTATTCTGGCACAGGAAGATTATGTTATAGGACATTAACGATAAAACAGAATATTGTTGTTCTATTTTTAGACACATCTCGCGATCGACTGGGAATCTCCCCGCGATCGACCAGTCGTTGGGCACCCCTGGGTTAAGGGGTAGGACATTTTAGAAACATCCCTAAGCGGTTGACCAATCACAACAGAGCTGGCCAGCTAACCAATCAGAGCAGACTGGGCTCTGGTTTCAGACAGAAACCAGGCAGTATGAGAAAAATAAATAACTTTTTGAACATTAAAGCATGCAAACATGTCACTGTAGAGGCACAAAATGCAAATATTTTTGCTCAATTTCACCTTTACTTTCAGGTCATTACATGTCGAGCCTATACACTTCTTCAGTAACTGTGTTTTACTTTAAATCAAAACGACTGATCACAAAAAACAGGCTAGAACACGCTGTAAACACAACCACAAAGGATTGATGAAAAACATTGTAGCAAATTAGTTCTACTGTTGGTCGTTTGTTGTGTGTGTGTGTGTGTGTGTGTGTGTGTGTGTGTGTGTGTGTGTGTGTGTGTGTGTGGTGTGTGTGTGTGTGTGTGTGTGTGTGTGTGTGTGTGTGTGTGTGTGTGTGTGTGTGTGTGTGTGTGTGTGTGTGTGTGTGTGTGTGTGTGTGTGTGTGTGTGTGTGTGTGTGTGTGTGTGTGTGTGTGTGTGTGTGTGTGTGCACAATGAGCAGGAGGTAATGTCTGGGTCATCTCTTGGGTGGCTAAGCCTATGTTTTGCCTCCCAGCGGGAAGCCTAGCCGTTGGCAAGGCCTGAGCTGAGTCTGGAGCTCATTAACTATCCACAACACTGGCCAAGACCTTCTGGGGTGTGTGTGTGTGTGTGTGTGTGTGTGTGTGTGTGTGTGTGTGTGTGTGTGTGTGTGTGTGTGTGTGTGTGTGTGTGTGTGTGTGTGTGTGTGTGTGTGTGTGTGTGTGTGTGTGTGTGTGTGTGTGTGTGCGTGTGCGTGTGTGTGTGTGGAAAACTTTGTTAATTGCATTTTCAAACATCTGTAATGACCTTTATGATATTGCAGTATTTTTCTGGTCTTAATTTGTGTCACTACAAATAATTCATTAGTGAGCAAAGAACAGTTATTCTCGTTGCCTTTGTATTATTCTACTTTTGGAATGAATGCACATACTCAGCAGGCATTCATTCTAAATTAGGGAGCAACTGTTTATTTTTTTTAAAGTGTACTATAACACACTTTCCACAGTAATATGGCTCCTAAAGCCGCTGACAAATGAAATGTGGGAGGGAGTTTTCTCCAGAAATGTCTTAAATGTCCTTGAAAAAAACAACTTACAAAGCATTAGTCCGTGTCCCAAAACAGTAACACTTTCCTATCTTGCCTGTGGCTCTTAGTTTCAAGATGATTTGTGTTAAAACAGGTCACAGACATATCATTATAAGTTTCATTATCAAAAAAGGCTATTATTTCCTTAACCTGTTAAGCCCGAGAGACCCCGGTACCGGGGCACTGCCGCAACATCTTGCAGGAAACAGTGTCTGAGGGCATGTTCATTTAATAAACTATGAATGTTTTATATCCATGTAACGGGAAGAAACTCATCTAACTGATCATTTTTTTTTTTTTTTCAAAAGAAAACCCACAATGCTAACACTGAGCCTCTGAATTAGCAACGAGCGAAAAATGCTAACACCTTACTGCACCGAAAATCACTCACAAAACCTTATTATTTATCTTTTCTCCACATCCATGACATCGTTTCACATCGTGAGGTGACACAGAATCGAAGGGTACCCTCATTATCACTGAATTATACGAAATTGCGACGTTATAAGCAAAAACAGACATCAAAACATTTGGCGCTAGGTAGCTAAAAATGCTAACAAGCTTACCTTGGCTCTGTAGTCTCTCCAAAGTGGTCTTCAATGGCATTAAAACGATAAAAACGCTGCTGAAGTTAATCCATAGGTTAATCCAATGTGTCTGTGTTCCTTTGAAATGATTTCTGATAATCCATGAGCAATGAGACTGATAATCCATGCTTTTCCGTTTCTAGATGTCAGAGCTAGAGTGTAGCTTCACTCTAATGCAAAATTACATGCGCAAAGCCCCCACCTTTTTGTTTCACAATGAGTGTGTGTGGGGGACTCCCCCTTCGATTCTATGGCTCTAACGGTCAGAAAGAGGTGTCAACCATCAAAATCGACCAATGGGTTCCAGAGATATGGAAAAGAAAACATTTCCACCCAAATCACCTCAGAGGTGGAGTGTTTTTGGCTAAACCTCTCTAAAAAGGTCAAATGTCACTTATTTTGCATCAATCTTGATACAGGGTACTTATTATATGTTGTACTTTGGATTCCTAAAGCTTTTAGTCTACCTTACCATCATCCAAGGGTAGTTTTCACTATAAGTAAAAAATATTTTTTGGACGGACACTATAATTTACAGTTTTTTACTATTTAAAATCTGAATTTTCTTTAAAATAAAAAACATCTATATTGATTCTGACTTTTCTACATCCAACTCACAGGTTTATCATTACTTTGAGAAAAAAGATTATTAATTTAACCCTTTTAGAAGGGAAGATATGGTCATTTGTTCTGGGAATGTCATTTTAGAGCCTGAGACCTGAAAAACAGGCTCAGGGCTTAACAGGTTAAAGAGCTCATATAGAATGACGAAGAGTGTATTTGTTAGGTTGTTAAGTAAAATGAACGATTTGTCTGACCTTTGATCTTTACCTGTCTGTTATAACATGTCCAACCGATACACTTCCATTACTGTGCGTTACTCCAATATTGACCGTATTTTAAGAATTTGAAACAAAAAACCGTAATATCCAAAACTCTGAAATCTCATGAAAATGTAACAAAACCACGAAGGACTGATTACAAACATTGTAACAACTAAGGTACAGTATGTTAGTAATTTGTTTCCTCTCTGGAACAATATTTGATAAATGTATTGTTATTTCTTGGCTCCTTTTCATGACATGTGTTGACCATAAAAACAATACCATCAGGTCCGGGACCCCCAAGTAATTTGCCACCACGAACTGTTCTATGCCATCATGACGCATTTGGGGGAATCGGAACCTTTTTCATACCTGATGAGTTTGCATCCCTGTTATTATATTTCTACATGTTTTTGGGTATGGCTGCTAAAATATTAGTAAGTAGGCATTGCAATTTTGGACATGAAAGTATGTTCCGGAGACAGGAAGGCTAAGAAAAACATGGCAACGGGTGTTTAAAGTGCAAGTAACAGGGAGAGATTTCATCATTCATTTTTCAGCTAGACTTTGACACTTCAAAGTTCCAGCCCTCTTTAAAATTAAATCCTATTTACAAAATGCTACTGGGCTGAGTTTGTCCCTTATAAACAATTCATTTCTTATGTTGTTTATTTTGTGTTTTTTGTTGCTGTGTGAAAGTGGTGAAAAGTTTCATTTCATCAGCCACAAATATAACATGAACAGATTTCAGAAAGTTCACTCAGCTGTGTTTAACAATTTAGCTTTTTCCCCCCCTCGGATTCTGTTTTCAATTCCCCAATTATTATTTTTCGTAAACCTGTCAGAATTTAATCTAAACCGACTTTCATCAACACTATAATTCAGAATATAAATGTGTCTGGTAATTGAGTTCCATCAGAGAGGTTTATTCTCCTTTCAAAGATATTGGAGCCAAATTATAACGCAGGAGGATCTTCAGAATAGAAAAAGCAATCCTAAGCAAATCGTGTGTGTGTGTGTGTGTGTGTGTGTGTGTGTGTGTGTGTGTGTGTGTGTGTGTGTGTGTGTGTGTGTGTGTGTGTGTGTGTGTGTGTGTGTGTGTGTGTGTGTGTGTGTGTGTGTGTGTGTGTGTGTGTGTGTGTGTGTGTGTGTGTGTGTGTGTGTGTGTGTGTGTGTGTGTGTGTGTGTGTGTGTGTGTGTGTGTGTGTGTGTGTGTGTGTGTGTGTGTGTGTGTGTGTGTGCAGGTGTATCAGGTGTACGCTCGGCGCTCCCCGGAGGAAGTCTATGACATCATGAAGGCCATGGGGGCGGACTACGTGGTTCTGGAGAACAGCATCTGCTACGAGCGCAGGCACAGGAGAGGCTGCAGACTGAGGGACCTGCTGGACCTGGCCAACGGACACGTGGGTGGCATTTATACACCGTGACTCATTGTGACTGTGCCACAACTTCTGTGACCGGGTGAAAGCTTTCAGCCTCCATACAGATCAATAGTTTCCCTTGTTGTCTGCGCGTCTCTGTCTCTCACTCTCTTGCTGTTGCTATCTCTCCTTATTTTGATGTCATGTGCTGGCTCTTTGGATTAGCAGAGGCTTCAGTCTGGATGTCTGGCTAAGACACATTAAACACAACACCATTGTGTTTTTGTTTTAACGGCGTAAATATCACAAAGCAGACGCTACATCTGACATCTTGACAGCTTTATTGAAAAAATGCTGTTCTTTTTGTACTTATTTGTGTCTCTGTCTTTTATTTTTTCTCTTCCGATTTGGCCTTTATTTTCTTTCTTTCTTTTAAACCAGATCCTTCAAAGGTGGTGCAGTGACGACGTTTGTTGTAGACACTGACGGACACTGAACTTAGCATTTAAAGTTAGGGATTTTGTCATTGCGTTTTGGAAACATTGCGCACTTGGTTGCCATTGTCAGTCAACTGTTCATTTGGTCATGTCTTTTGTCATTAACTATGTTGGATGTACAATTGATGTCTTCTTTGGAGTCCAGAACAGATATTAGTAAACCAACAAAATATCTAAATTCAGGTTGTGAAAATGTTGTATTTTATTTTTGTATTTGTTATTTGTATTTATATATTATCAGTTTTGTAGTTATTTTTTAGGCCAGAGAGTGTCTTTATTGGAGATACAGAGGTGAAACGCAGCTTAACTTGCATTTTGGACGTCAGCCCTATTCTATAGGCCAGTTTTTTAAATGTATTTTTAATTTTAGAAACCTAGGTTGAAATTGAGGAAGGTAAACATTAAAGGAGAGGTGTCATGGCCATTTCCACTGATCATAATTCCATTGTTGAGGTATACTAAAATAGATTTATACTGTGCATTTTTCCAAACTCACATTGGTTTCTCTACAGCATCTCTGTAAACTACGTGTATTCACTGAATTTCACTATTTGCCTTTAACGGTTCATTGTAGCTCCAAAAGCTCCAGCCCCCACCCTCCCTGTGAGCACAGTGTGCTCTGATTGGTCGGGACGTTGTGAATCGGGCTGAGCTCCGTGGAGGTGTTGCTTCCTTGTTTAGGATACATAGCGAAACACAGCCAAACTCATCCTGAGCACACACAAAGTCACATCCGAAGTAAAAACAATAAGTGTGGCTTGATATTGAGTAAGAAAAAGGTTGATAAACGCTGTGAGAATGGGTCTGCAGAGAGAATTTTGCCGCGATCCCAACTGTCTGTTATCAACCTGCAGCCAGGGAGGAGAAATCAGCTGAGCTGCCTGCTCCCTGCACACAGATGTGTGTGTGAGGAAGTCCGTGGATCGGTCAATTTGGACCAATCAGCGGGGGCTTAACGTAACGGCTCCGCGGACGTAACGTAACGGCTCTTCGGGATTGGTCCATTTCGTTCCGGGTACCGCATGACATCATGCCGTACCCGGAACGAAATGGAAGACTCAAATGGCCAGTGACGTATCTCCAACGAGGCGTTTTGGGGAGGTATTTTCTGTGTTAGAGTTTTACTCGCTACAGGGTGTACTTTGAGGGTTTTGACTCTGCACACCGTTTACATGCATAAAAACCTTCATAACACACAAGGGGACGGGTAATAACCGGAAAAGCATGACATGGGAGCTTTAAGCATTCAAATGTTTTTCAGTTACACAGTTGTAAAGTAAAATAGAAGAAAGCATGTTTGAGGCCGTCATATTTACAGTTATCCGTGCATCATCAGCATAAAGTGACCTCTTGTTGCTGTTGGTGCTGACATGCTCCTTCTGTGTTCCATCAGATCATGGACGGAGACGGGGAGAACGACCAGGACCTCGTCCCCGCCACCCATCCTCGATTCTGCGAGGAAGTCAAGACGGACGCCGTCTCTTACACCGCTCTGTTCACCAGAACATTCCAGAACAAAACCTTCCATGTGTACCGGGTCAAGAAGAAACGCAAGAAAAGCACCAAGAGCTCACCAGAGCCCAGCGCCTCTCAGCAGCAGGATCAGGCTCTGTGAGAGGAAAGGCGGTCAAAGGCCGGAGGGGGAGAGACGGAGCAGAAGAAGAGATAAAAGCCCTGAGTCCTCACTGTTCTTCTGCCTCCCCTCTGCACTGTGCCCAGCTGTGATCATGCCCATTATTTTTTGAACACATAGCTCTGTGAACTGTGCTGTTAGAGCAGTGTGCCGGTTCAGGCTCGGGGCTGTATTGTTTTAGTTAGCAGAGTGTAGAAGCACCTAAAGGAGTCATGCTCTGGGCTGTTCTGCCTCCCACCGCCCACCCCCGTCCTCCCACTGCCCACCCATCTCTGATGGTGCAGAGGAATAGACACAGAAACAAGTATTAGGCCTGTGAGCAGGGCCAGAACACCACAAGTGTTCCATCATCAGTTCCATTTAAGTTTCAGTTCTGCACATCGTCATGAAATGAACAAATATTCAACTCATTGCTACTTTTACATTTTAAGCATCATGTTTTTCTCTCAAACAGGGTAGATTTGTGGTTCAGAAGCATCAAACAAATCTTGATTTTTATTATGAAATGTTGCTTTTAAAGCATTGAAATTAGAAGTAAGTCACAAATAACTTGATCATTTATACATCCACAGAACCATGAGCCCTTCTTTCCCATAGAAAGGATGGAGGAAAAGAAAAGAATAATCAAGCTTCAGTTTTCTTAAATGGCAATAATACTCTTTTCTGGAAAGTGCAAGTTGCCAAAGACTGATATCAGTAATACATTGCATACAGAGCAGACATTAGAAATCTAAATGTGTCTGTACACTTCCAGTGTTTTAATGTCCTACATTTTAACGCAGTTTTCAAACTGAAGCAGTGAGCTCTTTGTTAAACGTCAACATTAAAACTATAAATAAAAATATGGATGAGATATTTCTTACTTTGTCAAAACAGTTCCTATATAATGTGCAGTTTGCTAGCTTGTTTCATAGCTTTTAACTGAAATGTTTCGGTGTTCACGGAGATGGGTCTGTCTGTAAGCAGTCTCAGTAGCAACAAAAGGGACAAAGCAAATAAAAGTGTGTCCTTTTAAGAAATATTTTTGTTCTAGGCTAGTTGGTGAACTACTGTGGCTGGCAAGCTAACTGCTAACACTAGCCACGCGAGCTAGCGCTAGTCCGTCCCAGTAACTTGAAGTTGTTTTTTCCTTTCTTTGTACTTTGTGTTCTTTTTTTGCCTGTATTACACATGCACTTGAGTTTTATTGAAGAGGGAAAATAAAAGCTGGCAAAAATCTTGCTAGCTTGGTTGCTAATGGGCCAATTTGTACTTATCACAACGCCTGTCTTCTAAAAGGACTAGGGATGGAACAGATTCTTCTCCATGACAACTGAGCAAACTGCCCCCACAGTATTTCTGTTGAGACACATTTCTTGACAGTAACGGACTGGGTAATAGTAGGCTATCCTGTGTGCACTCAGCTGTGTATCAGTGAGGAAAGTCACATCGACCATTAGCTTCACTCAGCAGGGACTTTGTTGGCACGTTTTGGCTCTGAACTTTTGTCTACGCTGTTATCAATTACCCCCGAACGCAAACCGGAAATAACGATGTTAGCTTCAATTCCTGCCGGGTGGCAACCGTCAGCACCGCCGCTTAAAAGTGTTTTTGCTGTAAGACTGAGGTCAAAGCTGGTACCAAGTGATATTTTTGACATTGTTGTTGTTGTGCTTGCTGTCGGCTCTGTGATTCTCATCAGCGGCAGCCTCAACCTTTTTTCACTCCCTCTTCTCACACACACACACACACACACACACACACACACACACACACAAACACACATGAATAATGGAAGTGGTGAGGAAATTGCAGTAGGCTGACAACGGCGCTGATTCCCCGCCGCAATCCAAAATAGTTTGTGATGGAGAGAGAGAGGGGGGGGGCAACACTTGCATATCAAACTGAGGCTTTGTGGTTGGAAAAGAAAAGTGGGGAGGAGCAGGGGGGGAGAGGGGTGGGCAGGAAAAAGGCTCATGTTTAAACAGCAGCAGAGAGCGTATCAAAGCGCGGATACACAATGATCTGAAACACTTCCTATTTTCCTTTCTCTTCTTTTGAACCAAAGAGAAGGTGGAGGAGAGGAGGTGATTGAAAGGCTTGAGTTGTGTCGGTAATTATGGAGGTGGCCAGTCGGAGCTTCCTGCTACAACGAGGTGCGACACCCACGTTCCCCCCCCCCCCCCTCCACATCTGCCTATATTTGTACACTTGTTAATAAGACCCTCTGCCTTTGATAATGTACACCCTTGCACACTCCCACTCAGTTGTTGTGGGGCTTTTCAAAATGTTGTTGTTCGTTAACCGCGCCGCCTCAATGTAATGCATACCAATAGGATCAGTGTGGCACAGCACTACTTGCCCCCCCCCCCATGAGTCCCGCCTTCACATTGGAAGTTTAATTTAGAAGATGTCTGATTGCTTTATTTGAGAGCGGAGTGATTCCATTATGTTTGCCTAATAAGAGTGTACTAATGTAATTTTTGTTCTCGCAATTCTTAATTTCCATACATATTGGGATTAGTAGTTCATTCGGAGGCGCGCTGGCTGCATATGCTTTTCTTAATTAAAAGGGGAAGAGGAAATCCATGAACTTGTGTGCATATGCAGAATTCAGCTCAACAAGTCGAAACAAATATGGCTACTTGAAATCATAATTCTGCTTGGGAAAATGGCCAAACGTTTGTAGACACCCTTTTCTTGTGTTTATTGTGTTGAAACGATCTCAACAAAGGATATTTTTCCCCTAAATATTGCATGTTATTTTATTTATTTGTACTATTATTAGTGTTGCTATTTTTTCTGCTGCAGTGAATACAAATAAGCATTTTGGTCAGCCAGGATCTAGTTTAAAAAAAAGGTGTAACGTACCCAGGATTCCTAGCAAATGAGTCCTTACCTAAGTTTGCTTTTTCTATTGTTTTGGCGTTTCTTCCAAACCCAATGGCCGCCAACATCCGATATATTCCCTCCAACAGGAAAAGTGAATAAAGATCAAGAAGAATTCAACTTTGTACGATTCAAATTGCACTATAGCATTTAAAGTCAGCCTCGGCAACAAACTTTTGCTAAATCTGTCCAAATGTTAGTCAAAATGTGTCAAAATTAACATTTTGCAAATGCCCAAGCTAACAGATTTAGCTAAATATGTCTGTTGGCAAAATAAAATATAAATTGTTGGCCACACCCACTTAGAGCACAGGAAGTGTACACCAACTCATATGCATTCATTCAATGTATCTTTAATTATAGAACATCTTTAAAGTAAGTCAATAACAACTGCTTTGAGGTTTATGATATATATCTATCTTATCTATCTTTTTTTTAATGACAATTAGCAACAGATTAAAAAAAGAATCGGGGGGGTTTGGTCTCAGTAAACCTGGCTATGGCCCTTTTTTGAAGTTCAAGAACATGCTAGCCATTCAAATTCTTCCAAAAGTGTCAAAGTCTGTTTATGTGCACCCCGTTCCAAAAAGCCTGCCAGTAGAACACAGTCTGTGTAGTGTGTGTTTTGTTACAGGCTCTTATCTGTATGGTTGTCCATATTGTTTTGAATGTGTTTGGGGGCATGTTGGTGCTGACGCTTTTAGATCATTCATGATGAACTGCAGTTATGATGCATGTGCCAGTCTTAGACAAACCATTTCCCATAAGTAACACGAACAGATGCAACCCGCTGAGCCAATGTAAATACTTTGAAACTATTTATGAATGTGAAATGTCCACATTTAAGAGTCTAAATAGCACTATTGATAAACTGTGGGAACATTGGACCTGATTGACAGGCTTTTCATACAGGAGCTTCCTGGTACCTTTTTCATTGGCTGATGTGAAAGCCGCTCTTTGGTGCACACTGAGATAAACGCACAGACCTGATGCACCTTGAACGCTACATAAGAGCCACATGTGACCCTAAAGCATCACCGTCATATAAAGTACCATTTCTGTGTTTGGAAATCTGTCAATAGTGGAAACCAGCATCTTTTGTGTTTATTTGAAAAAATAAATATTGTTCTGTTATGTATGTCAGTGCCTTGGTCATGTTCTCCATTTTTCTTCTTAAAAGCCACTAAAAGTGTTTCCGCTGTGTTTTCTACTGCAGGAAATGTTTCATATCAGCAATCATACAAACTATTAATGTTAACTCTGCTATTAAAAGTGTTCTCATGTCGAGCATGTTGCAGCTATAGAGGGGAAGATACATGAGTTAGGTTGGAATGCTCTCCAACGCCAGTGTTTAGATATCAACAGCATTAATGTTCTATGGCAGTTTGATCAATACAAGTTTTTATTCAAACAAGTCCTTGTCTGTCATTACTTTTTTAAACCTTGCTTTTCAGCGGCAGTCACGACTCAGAACAGTCTCTGGTGCAAACAAATGAATTTATTGAGAAGAAAAAAAACAAAGCAAATACAAAACACTTACATAACTGTCCAAAGCTCATCACCGTCATGATGATTAAAAAAAGACATGTTTGTTATGTTTTAAATTCTTTTCTCAGTAGCTGCACATTTTAAATGTATGTGGCGCTTTTATTAACAAAAAGCAATAATTAAATGTATCTTTGTATTTACAAATTATGTAAAAACATTGACTTTGTTCACAACACGTCTGCAACCTGGAACACAACATTTAAAAGCTGCTTTATGGTACAAATGAATGGTGTCGCTACTCCCAGCTGCAGAGGGAGAAGCATGTAGCGCCTCCATCCTTCCTGCAGAGGAATACAAAAGAGCAAGCATCCTCCTCTAGGAAATCCCCATTGTCTTTAAAAAAAGAACAAGCCTGTGTGTCTTACTTTCAGGCATCGTCCCCCAGCGTCCTGCACCCTCACCTCCACCGCCAAGGCTCTTATTTTTAAAAGCTGCTTTATTGCCTCGTCTTTAAGAAAATACAAATTTCTGGAAAGCTTCAATCTGTCAATCGTCCCCTCTGTTGCCTTTTTTTTTTAAAGTCCCCACAATCCTTTGTTTAGTTTTTTTGACAGCAAGCCATCAGCTCCTATTAGGATAAGTGGCCTGACATATTTTCAGACACTCCTTCCATTTAACCGCTCTGCCGACAGAGAAGAATGAACGCAGCAGAATACAGCGAGGAGAGCAAGGACGGCTTTTGGGAGGATTGCAGGAAGACTAGCAAACATTTTCATATGTATGCCACTTGCGGTGTAACAAACGCGCTTGTTAGGTTCAAAAATGATATAAATATAAAACTCTAGACAAAATACGGTGCAAGAAGCTCAAAACACAAGAGGATACTAAAAAGTGATGCACAGCTGGGACCGGAGCTTGTTTAGGTTCACGATTATAAAGTTGGCCAACTGTCACTGTTGGCAGAGTTAGTCTATTTCATAATTGTAAATGTTTTGTCAGTATATTTGAAATGACTAGGTTAGCTAGGTTAGCTACTGTAGCTAGCTAACAGCAGATCTCCAATAATATCGGAAGACTCATGCGATAATTTTAAATAAGCCAATACAACGCACATTTCATGTACATTTTCAGTGACAGTGACAGTAATGGCGCGTTTCCACTACACGGCCTCGCTCGGCCCCGCTCGGTATGGCTGGGCCTCGTTAGGACTGGCTCACTTTATGGCGCATTTCCATTACAGTTTAGGAACTGGGGCAGTATCTATAGTAACGCAGTGTAGGCGGAGCCGTGACGTGATCTTCAGAGGACCCCAGAAAAACAACACAGCCGTTAGCTGTTAGCACTCAGAGCTCCTCATATATGTTCAGAAACTAGACAAAAGTTAAACAAGTACAAACCACAGACTGCCTGTGTCATGGTGAATACAGTCGCTGCTTTATTTATGTCTGTATAGGCCGTTGTTGTGAGTGTGGACGGTCGGGGCATATACTGCGTTAGCTTAGCCAATCTCCATTTAGAACACACGCATTTTAAAAGGTTTTTCGCCTGCCGTCTGTCTGCAGACTTGACAAAGCATTAATTCATGGTTTTTACTAACCGGTATCAGTATGTTGTTACTTCGGCATCATTTTGAAACGTGTATTACAATTAAATCACGGTCAAATATGTCCATCTTGTTGTAGTTGTAGCCCCCTTGCCAGCGATTCTCTCTCTAGTTTAGCATACTCAGCCCGACTCAGCCTCGTTGTCTCTGGCCCTGGGCCCACGATTTTATGAGGCCAGAAAAACTGTGAATTAGGACCCGCCGGCCGGTACTAGGCCAAGTGGAAACGCAACCAAAGACGGGCCGTTGACGTCACAGCCCTCTTAAACCGCGCTGCGCGCTGTAGTGGAAACGCGCCATAAGCCAACTTCATAATCCCCAAACGTCAACAAGCGCTCCGGTCCCAGTTGTGTGCGTCACTTTTTAGTGTCCCCCTATCTGTGTGGTTTGAGCTTCTTGCAGCGTTTTTTACTTGCAGCGCTTTCAGTTAACGTTGAACATGTTTTGTTGGTGAATGTTTTCTTAATGTAGTGCATGTTGTCAACTCGTTGAATATTTTTCGTCATTTGCACGTGTCTTGGCAGATTTGTGTTTTTTTATTTGCATCGTATTTTGAAAGTGCAGCGCGTTTGCACCTGTCGGCTACCGTACAATGGTGCTCAGTTCACCACAGAGAACGGCCTGATTCAACCCTCTACCCAGTAATCATCTCTCCTATGGGGGGTAAAAAGACTCTCCGCGTCCTGCTTTACCTTTTCGATGTTTTTACACAAATTATTCCCCAACAGCATGAAGTCTTTTTTATCGTCAACATAAAGGCCCATCAAGCTTATGTGAAAAGGAAGCCAAACAAGAGGAACACTTGCTGGCAATTCGCAGCTTGGATAATAACTGCACACTTATTATTTCCTTCCAATTTTCCGTAAACACTCAAGAAGAGTGTGTGGTAATTTAGCAAAGGGACAATGGATAAGTGTATGGCACAGGTATCTGCTCTGAATAACATGTAATCATTATTTAGCCCTGCTCTTTCAGTTGGTTGAGTAGTCACCTTGACGTATTTGTATTCCACCGTGCAATTGTCTGGTTAAATAGTGTCTCGCAGACGCCACATTTGGTATGCCTGAGCAAGAGCGTTCGCGCCACAGAGCAACAGAGCGAGTATTTCCTCCCTCCTGCAGTCCGCACGTCCGCTTTCATTTCTTTGTAACAAAGCCGTTTGAGTTTTTGGTGCGCCCTCCCTCGGGTGAGGAGGAACGCGTGGCGGAGGAGCGTGAATGAGAATAGGAAATCACATGAAGACGAGGGCGCAGTAGTAAGTAGAAGCTTGATGTCTAACCCACGCAGCGTTGAAACTTGAAACACCCAACCAATACAGAATTACTCAACCCACTGAAGGACACATTACCAGAAGAAAGGAATAATAATCTCACCCTGCACTGCAACCCAGTGCTGGTCCAAGCACCTTTTAAAAAAAAAATCTCGTACAAACATTGACAGAAGCTGTGTACAGCCAGGCAGCGAGAACACAACGTGTCCACAATATACTGGAAACTATTTGATGGGCTAGTCAGAATGATCCCACTCGTCTTTACTGTCGTGTAACAGTGCAGAGGAGGGTTTATGTAGGAGTGCTTTGTTAATTTACAAAGAATATATTCAGCGGCAAGGTGCTAAAAATATCAACTGGCACTGATTTGCTCAGGTACAAAAAAAACGTTAAAAAGAAGGCCGGATCGTTTCAGCTGACACTCATCCAGAGCAGCGAACAATGAGTGTTGGAGAAAAAAAAAAGCAAATTTAGGTTTTAGTGACTGGAACAGATTTTTGTGACAGTGAAGCTAAGCTCCGTCATGATGAGTAGACCGGCAAGGGAACCTGACGGGCAGGTTTGATAACGTCTGCTCCTGCACAGATGTCCTCTGAGGGAGAGCTCTTTGCACGGGGACACTTTCCTTCTGTCTGTTAGGCCCCCGGTTGATTGACAGGGCTCATTGTCCTGTGAAAGCAGCACAGCGACTGAGGGGGGGGGGTGTAGCGATTTCTGTCCGTCAGTCAGTCTCTCGCTGTTTTCCCGCCCTCGGTTTGTCGCTAAGCTAATTGATTGTTTTGGGTCGGGGGTCCCGTCAGTTTTGGTGTGTCTGAGCTCAGAGGTCGCTGGCCTCGGCCCGCTCGTACAGGGCCCGCAGCTTCTCGAAGCGGGGCCCCCACTCCCCGAGTGTCTCCTCCCTCCTCCCCTCCCCTCCTCCACCCCCGTCCCCCACGCTCCCTCCATCTAGCCCTGCCGAGCTGAAGGAGCTCAGGGAGCCGGCGGGCGACCCCCCTCCCTCGGTGGAGAACACCTGCAGGGAGTCGAAGGGCCCCGTGTCCGGGTGCTGGTCAGCGTCGCGGATGATCTCACACAGGTAGCGCGCCAGGTCCTGGCTGGAGAAGGACAGGGAGCGGCGGGCCAGCTGGGAGGGGCGGGCCTGGCCCTGCGCCGGAAGTCTGGTGGGGGGGACGTCCCTACGGAGGCTGGCCGTGTTGGAGGTGGCGGTGGAGCAGGAGGAGGCCGCGGAGGGGGGCAGGGTGGTGGAGCAGGTCGTCCGGCTGAGCATGTCCAGCTGCTGGGCGCAGGGCGGGGCCGGGGGCGCCTGGTGGAGGAGGAGGTGGTGGTGGTGGTGGAGGGGAGGAGGGGGAGGGTGGTGCAGAGCTCTGGAGCGACAGTACTGGACCGACTGGGCCGGGCTCGGCTGGAGGGACTTCTGCAGCTCCGCCATGTCGTAGGCATTCTGAAAACACAAAAAACACGGTCATTACCCAAGTATAATTAAATATAGTTTTGAGGTAGTTGTACCGGGGGTATTTTATTTTCATGCTACTTTATACATGTTGAAAGCCTATATTGTACTTTTTACTCCACTACATTTATATTTGAAAGTTTAAGTCACTTTGCAGATTCAGATTATTAAAATATACAAAATATAAATAAACGAAATAGCATATAATTATAGATTAATTTATTCCAGAACAATTCAGTTTTTTTTGGCATAATATGCTACAACTTAAAAAATATATTTATTACGTTTTTAAACATTCTAAAGTATGAAACCTTTTCGACATGCACAAACCATTACTTTTTTTTCGACTTTTTCGGCAAACTATACTATTACTGTTTTTCGATATAATTTACTAGGACTTTTTTTTCTACATGCTATACTATGACTTTTTCTCCAAGTTTTTCGAGGTGCTATACTATGAATCCTTTTTGACATGCTAAAGTATGAATCTTTTTCGTCATGCTATACTATGACTTTTTGTTAAACTTTTTCGACATTCTATTCCAGTGTTGTAGTCAAGTCACCAATTCACGAGTCCAATTCACGAGTCCAAGTCACTCTCGA